CTTGGATCCAATCACTGCTGAGTGCCCAATCTTCCAGCAGCAGAGATCATCACTGAGCCTGTGATGTATTTTCAGTTGTACTGTGTTAGTTGTATCATGTTAGGTGCATGTATGACTTTATAATTGTCTTTATTTAGAGATTATATGTAGTTTAAGGAGATGTTCACAAGTGTCAAGTTGACAAAGGGTGGACTGTAATAAGTCAAGTGTAATAAATCACACTTAAGGTGTGCATCAAGTTGACATGAGTCATGATTTGCAGTAGTTTAGAAGTTATGATGTAGTCATCCCCCATGATGGGATCTGATATAATGTAATCACCTCCATGATCAGATGTGCTATGAGCAGCCCATAAGTTAAAAGGGAGTTTCCTCAGGGGTGCAGCCTGCTTCCAATGTATATATAATGACATCCTGGAAAAATCCTCTGGCTTTCTGCTGGATTTGGGTCCTGCATCTGGCTCATCAACATATTGGTTCCTGGACCTGAACCAGTGACCTGCTGCATTGCCTGCTGATCTTGGATTGTTGCTTTCATAGCCTATGAGCCAACAATCTTCCATTTTGCCTGCCAGTCTTGGATTTGTCAGTCTCCAAACCCAGCAGCCTGCCGTACTGACTGCTGTTCTTGGGTTAGTCAGGCCCTGCAGCTGCAAGAGTCAGGAAAACCCTCCAGTGTGACCTTTGACATTTGACCCACCAGCCTGTACAACTGTGTGAGCCATTTCCTTAGGAAAAATTTCTCTCACTCTCTATGTAAAGGAGCTTGTGGGGGCACTGTGCATAAAGCATCTGCTAACCAGCAAGTTGGTGGTTCAAAGCCACCAGCTGCTCTGCGGAAGGAAGATGAAGCAATCTACTTGCATAAAGATTAACCACCTTGGAAACCCAGTGGGGTCTCTTTGAGTCATAGTCAACTTGATGGCAGTGGTTTATATATATTTATATGTTTCACTGGTTTTGCTTTTCTAAAGAACCCAGCCTAAGACACCATTTTCTTCCATTTTTGGTTTGTTAGACTGGACTAATGAAGACCTTGCTGAAAACTTGTACTAATGATTATTTGAAAAACAATCATGGTGATTCAATAGTTTTTAGAAAATCTAGGGAGCTCTGGTGGTGTAGTGCCTGAGGCATTTGACTGCTAACCAGAAAGTTGGTGGTTCAAACCCACCAGCCACTCCTTGGAAGGAAAGTTGGGCAATCTACTTCCTTAGTGATACTGCCTCCGAAACCCAAGGAGGGGTCACTATGAGTCAGATCCAACTCCATGGCAGTGAGTTTGGTTTTTGTGGTGTATAGAAAAGTAAAGCTTTTACTGATTCATAATTTTTACATATACTGTTGGCTTTCTGATGTTCTTTGGACTCATGCAGTATTCTGATGACATGCCCATCCATTTCCCATTTTTGTTTTCTTTTTGCTGTATATGCTGAAAATTTCTTTTGTTTACTACTATAACTTTGTGGGGGAGCTCTGTTAGCGTAGTGCCTAAGGCACTTGACTGCTAACCAGAAGGCTGGTGGTTCAAACCCACCAGCCACTCCTCGGAAGGAAGGTTGGGCAATCTTACTTCCGTAGTGATACTGCC